TTTTATCATTATCGTTTCCAAATTACACTGTATACAAATTTATGTAATATTTATTCAAGATGTGCAGTTCTGCACTGTGTCATTTATGTGTCAGAGCTGGAGTGGTTTTGAATTTGGAGTAAAGGATACAGATGATTGAGGTAGTTGTGATGGCCATGATGGTCCCAACAGGGATGGACTTCTGAGCATCCTGCAGGTCACCAGAACGGTTGGAACCAGCCATGATACCTGTGACATACACACAAACATTATTTCAGAAAACACTGGGTCTGTTTGTGGATCAGTTTTTTTTTTTTTTTTAACTTTACACACAAATCCAAGAATTGCACACACACATTGCAAATGCCTCACATCTATTGCAAACATACACACAATTATTCAAAACCTAAAGCTCTTCTTTCTTTCATGAGCTCCTATGTACATTTCCGTACAAGATTGAAAGTAATTGGCAGAGTGATGTAGAGAAATTCACGGCAAACACGAAAGCAAGATTGAAACTAACATTTTTTTTTTTTTTTTTTTTTGGGCATTTGTGGTTGTGAATAGTTTTACACAGTCCAAAAAACCTATAACTTGTCCTTTGTCCAATTTATATGCCTATTCTAAGGTTGGTGTTAAACAAAGCAATGTGAGGAGTTAGTGTGAGGCACTGAGGAATTAAAATCAAGATACTTCCTGTTAGATGTTTGTGTGGTACATAGAGAATTCTGTGTTGTAGTTTGCAAAAAGTGTTTTATGATATTGAAAACTGAGTCGAAGGCCAAGAATTAGTGTTTGGTTCTGGTGTTTGAGTTCGGGTTTCCGAAACTGTTTGACAAGTAAGGATTTTGTGTGTAAGCAGTTGAAAAAAACTGTAATAATAATTCCCCTAATAGTCATGGAACGGTTGTACTGACCTGTGACAGAGGGGAAGTAGATGCCAACCAGCAGGGTGAAGAAGCTGGTGATGTCAGCGAGGACATATCGGTTCGTGTTGGTTAGTGGTGCCTCAGGGTCGAGTGCTGCAGCTATACCTCGTTTCTCTATAAATGTATTTTTCTCAGCAAACATGCTGAAAAGGTTTTCTGTGAAGAAGAAAACAAGATTCACAATTTTTTAAAAACAAAATGACATCAAATACAGAATCGGTACATTTTTTGAACATTAAAGCTAATCAATAACATTACTGGTATACTTAAGCATTTCAAATATTCAAATGGGGTTCGAAATTTGTAAAATAATAGTATGGACTATAAATTATATAATAGTATTTTAAGTTTATTTTATATATGCAAATGTTTAAGAGTCTATGATTGGATCATTAGTGCAGTGATTACTATGTTTCTAGCATGTTATATGTTTGGCAACAGTTCTTCTAATCCTAATTGATGGAGTGTGTAGCTTTTCATTTCTTAAACAATCATGTAAAAAGACAAGATCTTGACCAAAAATTGATCTTGGTGGAAATAAATGTTCTGATGTTATTTCCATTAAGAGGTGCATCAAGTTTTGTTCAAGAATACAAGAGTCAAGCACTCTGTAAAGTCTCCTCCAGAACATCCCAAAGATTTTCAAGGAATTTCAGGTCTGGACTCAGAAGTGCCAATTCATGTGTGAAAATGATTCTTGATGCTCCCTCCCTACCATTGTTTCACAGTTTGAGCCTGATGAATCTTGACATTGTCAAAATGGAATATGGTCATGATGTGTTTTTCACATGGTTGTTTAAGAAATAAAAAGCTACACACACCATCAATTACATTTAAAAGAACTATTGCAAACACATCACATGCTAAAAACATAATAATTACTGCAATAATGATCCAATCATAGACTCTTAAGCATTTGCCTATTTAAATATTTTGGACGGGCAGTGTGTTTTATTTAATTAGCTTTTATGTTGAAATAATTTTGATAAAACATTTAAAGTATGCGGAAAATATTATTTTTTCTAATATTTTAAATATGAGGGAAGAACAAAACACTATACATAGTTAAGGTATTTATCTGACAAAATGATTTGCCAAAAAATCGCCAACAACAGCTATATGGTTTTATTTTACTATGCAAAAAAGTAAACTGCATAGAAAAACAAAAAGCTCACAGGAAAATTGGCTCCAAGCTTACACAATCTTTTTTAATCTTTTGTCAAAATGCTTACAAAGACAATAATTATACACTGTTGTCTCTACACCACTCAAAAGTCTCGTATGCTAAACAAGGCTGCATTTTTCAATCAAAAAACTATAAATAGAGTTTAGTAAATGATACATTAAGATTATGAAAATATTACAATTTAAAATTATTGACATGCTTAATATATTTTGTGGGAAACCTTTAAAGAAAAGAAAGTTAAAAAAAACATAATTTAATTGAAAAAGTATTAAAGTATTATTTATTTGAAAAAGTAAAAGTATTGTGATGTATAAGTATCAATGTCTGTAAGTCTTCTAACCTGCCAGGATGCCACTGGTCACTCCAGGGATTCCCTGGATCTGGCTAACGTTGTTGTTTGTGAAGTAATCATCGCAGGTGGCGTTCAGGAACTCGGAGTCACAGAAGCTTCTCCAAAGCTTGGTGGTGACCGTGCCATTTCCCCTCTCTATGGTCTTGGCACAAATGTCAAAGCTCTTCGACACAAGAGTCCGGTTCCCGAGCACACACACCCTATACAGGATATGGTCTGTATGATTATGGATGCTCTGTGCCCTAAAGGAACATTCTGAATCCCAAAAAGTTCTACTTACGGAAAGTCAGGTGGATCAAAAGATGTCTTGATGACCCCGGCGTAGACAGCGAGAATGGAGAGAATGACGCAGGCGAGGAACACAAGGGCCAACTTGTTGACGTACTTCACACCAACAAAGACAACTAAAGACATCAAGGAGAGCACGATGGTACCGTACACACGCATGTTATTCAATAATGCTGCCTCAGCCTCTGCTCCCTCCAGACCCTCCATCTTGAATACGGCAGCTGCTGGCACAATGTAGATCTACAAAAAAAATAAGATTTTGTAATAATAATTGTAAGATATTTTTATTTAGTACTGCCCTTCAGTAGCCAAATATGATATTACATGTTTCACAGAAGACAAAAGTTTAAATTTACCCCAATCATCAACACCCCCCAGCTGTTAATGCATTGTGTCCCTAAAAATGTTAGTTAAAAATTAAAAAATTATCCCAAATCCCCTCAAGCTATCCTATGTTTATATGACTTTCTTCTTTTAGCCAAACACAATCAGAGTTATGTTAAAAAATATCCTGGCCCTTCCAAGCTTTACAATGAGAGTGAATAGTAACTGAGATTTTGAAGCTCCAAAAAGCACATTCATCCACCATAAAAGTAATCCATACGGCTTCATGGGGTTAAGAAAGACCTCCTGAAGCGAAGTGATCCGTTTTTGTAAAAAAAATGTAGAAGTCCCTGTTAAGTCCCTGTAAATATAAAAGTCCCTGTAAAGTCAAAATTAAGTATGTGTTCTGAGTCTGTCATACCACAGAAAAATGTGTTATTAGCCACCCAGCCAAATTTGAATGATAAAAAAAGCTGGCAAGTACATAAAATAAGCTTTCAAAATCTTGAAAAAATGAGCAGTTATCTTTGTTCTCAAACGCTGGGGGCATGTCTGCTGGCTGCGCTGAAACCACGCCCACTAGCGTGAATCACTAACGGTCTAACTCCGTATTTCAGAACTTCACAGTTCACAGTCTTTGTAATATGTTTTAGCAATACATATGTAACATTTATAATGTGTTTAGAACTTTTTTGTTGAATTGACCCTTCGCTAAGCCACGCCCGAAAACCGCCACTGGCCAATCATGTCGTAGCAACCGTAACTATGCGCGGGAGGTCTGGCAAGCTTTCGAACGAGGGAACATGCTGAAGCATTGTGCGTATGGATTGTGCAAATCTGATACCGGTATACTAAAAGTTTGGACGGGGGAGAGGAATTGTTTTTTTTTTCCAGAAAATCTAAAAGCCAAGGGGAGAAATGATTGGCCTGATCTAGCATCTATGTGCGAGACCCATTCACAACTACTGATAAATGTCGACATGCTTAACAAAAACACCTATTGCTTGGAAATATGGACGGTTCTTTGGTCATAATGATATAACGTAAAATAAGACGATTAAAGACAAGACAAAGGCTCACTGACATACTTTAAAATATATTTCAGCATTTTATTGATCGACGTCCTACTAACGTTACCCCTTAACCTAACCCAATCCGATCGAGGCTCTCCCGGTATTAGTTATTCCACAAGATTTATTGATAAGCTGTTTGATTTATAATTATTACGATTATTTTCACATACCCTGCTGTGGATGAACACAGCTGTTCCTCAATTTGTGTTTTCCATTTGAATGGTCAGCGTATGAGGCGCTGCTGCTTGCGCTGGGACTATAAAGTTAGGCTTTAACTTCAATTTTTAAGAAATTATTCTCTAATCGGTTGCATTTAATGTCGTGAATATATCCCTCAAATGCATACTGTAGTCCCTTTTGTCTTGCTCTCTCAGATATTTCACTTGTTTTCGGCGAAAATTACTAATTATCTCATTGAAATGTCTGATACCGGGTGCATCCACACTATAATAGATGGGTCAGCCGCGAAAGCTTGACAGGCATAGCAACAGTAACTAGGGAGGGCGGGGCTTAGCGAAGGGTCAATTACCTTTACAGGGACTTTAACTACAGAACTATAATCACTGATTTCCGGTAATGGCCGTACGCAAGTCTAGTTTCTGCAGAAGAGTTAACTCTGACCTAACGTATGACGTAGGAGTTGTGTAAGCTTAGGTGAGAGTAGACGCCTCTCGCGGTTCAAACAAATATGGCTGGGCAACAAACTCAAGTTCCTCCCACATTTCTCTTTAAACATTCTTGTTTTAGACCTTTTATTCATGACCGGTGTTTTGTTTTTCTCTGCGCTTCCGAGTTCGAAATTACACAACCCGATCTCACGACCAAATCGTACGAATTTGACGAATGATTAAAAAGTGGCTAATTCGTAACAATTCATACGACCTCAGTCGTACGAATTAGTACGATTTTGCTAAATCGTACATATTTTACGAATTGGCCAATTCGTATAAATTTGTACGAATGACCTACCCCTTACCCCACCCCTAAACCTAACCATCACGTGGGTTTAGACAAATCGTACAAATTCGTATGAGTGAGGTCGTACGAATTAGTACGAATTAGACACTTTTTAATCATTCGTTGAATTCGTACAAATTGGTCGTGAGCACTGATGGGCAGTAACGCGTTAGAAGTAACGCGTTACTGTAATCCAATTACTTTTTTCTAGTAACGAGTAAAGTAAGGGATTACAATTGAAAAAACAGTAATTAGATTACCGTTACTTCCCCGTAAACAGCCTGCGTTACTGCGTTAGTTAACCGTGATTTTGTTTAGTCAGACCGTCTCGTGACATGAGTCGTGCGTGAATAAAAATGATGTATGAGTGCCGCGACATCAGTGAGAGACGACTAGAGCGCGGGAGAGAGCAGCCGAGTTGCCAACTCTCATACACGCTCACACGACACACCCCTGATTTCTCGCGCTGAAGTGTCAATCCCGTCGGTCAAATGCCTGAAAGATGACTATATCTATAAATCTAACCTTTGAGCCACATTTGTGATTGACTAGTTATACCGCAAATTTGTTAAAATCTCCCGGAATCTAGAGCGAGCGCGCATGCGAGACTGTGTTCCAAAGTCCAAACTTCGTATCGCGCGCACGACGAGGAGAGCGAGAGAGAGACTTGCGTACTATGCAGAGAGCATCCTGATCTAGAAACTGGACCCCCGTTGGAGAATGTCAAAATTCTACCTCAAATCTGAGCAAGCATGTCACGAGACAGCCTCACACGGTCAACTAAAGCAGCAAGCCGGTACAGGAATGTGAAACTTACTGAAAAAAAAACCCTGAACCCCCATCTGACCGCTGCGGCTACATGCTGATGGGACATAACCACTGTTTAACTCCGTAAGAAGAAAAAAAAAAAAAAAAAAAACAGAAAAAAACTTGAAGCAAAATACGGCATGCAACAGCATTTTCTGTTTTGATCAACTAATTTTTACTCCTCTCTGCACTTTACTGTTAAAAGACGTAAGTGTTAATAATTTGTAATATAGTCAGGAGCGACTTTCATGATTTTGTTGCTGTATTTTTACATCTATTCAAATGAAGGATTTTACAAAACATATTTATTTTATATGCTGGAATATGTAGAAATTTATATTAACAGAAGAAGGGCTGTCTTTATTTCATTAAAATATGGTGGAATGTGCAGAAAATAGGTTTAAATGTTCAACAATTTTCTTCTAGTCTGAGACTGTTGCATTTCATTTAATTTTTGCTCGATGCAATGTGCATAAAGTTAAAATATTGAAAGAAATAAAACAAGTTTAAAAAAAAGAAAGTGTTTAATTTGATTACATTTTAGATGATGGAATATGCAGAAAGAATAGAATTAGGCTGAAAGGTCTGCTTTAGCGTATTCAGGTCGTGCATCATGTTTTTGAAAAGTAACTTAGTAAAGTAACTAGTAAAGTAACTAATTACTTTTGAAAATAAGTAATCAGTAAAGTAATTGGATTACTTTCTTGGAGAAATAATCAGTAATCAGTAACTAATTACTATTTCCAAGTAACTTGACCAACACTGGTCGTGAGATAGCGTAGCAATACATCATGCGTCAGATCAGAGGTAACTCTTCCGCCGGAACCAGACTCGTGTACGGCAGTTACAGGAAGCCAATGATTATAGTTTATCAAGTTACAAATGTTCATATTTTTTTATGGAAGGCCTTTATAAGCCCACTGGAGCCGTATGGATTACTTTTATGATGGATGGATGTGCTTTTTGGGCTTCAAAATTGTGTTTGGCTGAAATAAGAAGGTCATATACACCTAGGATGGCTTGAGGGTGATTAAATTATGGGATAACTTTCATTTTTGGGTAAACTCAACCTTTAATTATCCTCAGTGCAGTGTGAAAATATGGATCATAAAAAACATAAAGTCAGAGTTTGAAACGGTTCCAATATGCAGAAGATGCTAGAAAAACAAAGAATGTGCAGAGTAGGACCTGGAAGATTCTTTCAGAGGACATATGACATTCACAGTACAAATTAAAATACATTTTGTAAAAATCATCACAAATCTAAGAAACGAGATGCTAAATAATGTAATTATTCGTACAGTTTGGACACTTGCCTTCTGAGTTTGTATCGATACATTTTGCTTTAATTAGTTTAAATTGAATTAGTTTGACACTGAATGTCAGATTAAGCGAAAACCAATGAAATTGTACCAGGAGGATTTCGATGCATCCCAGGATGTACATGGCTCCCGCAAAAGTGGTCCCCAGATAGAAACATATACCAACGGCCCCGCCAAACTCCGGCCCCAGTGAACGAGAAATCATGTAGTATGAACCTCCAGCTACAAGCACACAAACAAATGTAGCATTAAGCATATACATCTAAAGAGTTAAATTGAACAGCATTTCACACTAATAAGTAATAGTAGCTTTCCATCCAATGTTGTGAATTTTACTTAAGCACAAAATTGGAATATCGCATAAAACATTTGCGAATCCAGCAACGTTTCCATCCCATGTAGCCAAGATAACACAATCGTTAATTCCTGGGAAACCAGCGCCAAATACAGTATCTGTTCTAAAAATGGAAGCTGCTGCAATCAGGAAAGGGACTGCCGCTCTTTTTTCGTACATCATAAATGACTTAGAGAGTGCAGAAGAACACTGTATAAACATGGTAAAGTTATCTTGGTGTCTGGATGACACATTTTGATGTCAGACTTTAGCTCAGACATCTCAGAATGACCAAACCAATATTTGAGATGCTGTGCAATGAAATTGGTCTACAATCACAGTTATCCAATCACATCCTCAGGCAAAGTCATCTGAGTATTTTGTTGATGGAGTGATTTATACGGAAAATGTATTTCCATCGTAGTTTCTGTCTTCTTATTGGATAAAAAAAAATGATCCACCTCAATTGAGCACATAGACTTTTTATGCATATTTTGTATGGATTTTGGAATTTCCATTCAACTTTTTTTGTTGCAAAATCCCAAAATTCACATAACAATAAGTGGATTGAGACATAGCTACTTTTATCAAACTTTTTTCTTCTTGAAATGACATTTAAAAATTCCATGACACGGGCTACTGTTATTTCAAATAAACACAGAGACATACAAACATCCACACAAACGAACACACAGTTATGAGCTTGGAGCTGATCTCAGCACAGTTGGGAGCTGTACTGTGCACTGTAGCTAACTGCCCATGAAGAACAACAGGACAGCCGTCCTCTGGGCATCTGCACGCATACACAAACACTGTGAATTCTGCTCACCTGGCACAACTCCATTGGTGGCAATAGCACTCATTGAGATCGCAGTCAGCATAGTCTGTAAATAAAGAAAATAAAGATCAATACAACGGGGACAATGAGTGACAGAGAAAAGAGGCCATCACTAAGTCCTCCAGTGACTTGTGAAATAAAATTGTATTTATTAGAAAAGAAACATTGAGAGGTTACACTCTAAAAAATGCTGGGTTGTTTCAACCCAAATTTGGGTCGAATATGGACAAACCTAACCTTAAAATGTAACCCAATGGCTGGGTTTGTCCATATTTGTCCCAAATTTGGGTTGAAACAACCCAGCATTTTTTAGACTGTATGCAGTTGAGTGGAATTTTTACTGGTTTAGCAGATTCATTGATTTTAGGGTAAAAGAGGAAACATTATTTTGTCCCTGGCCCCATGAATTGAAGTAACACCCATGCATAAAGACATGAATTATGTAATTATGTTGAATAACAAAATGCCATTTTGGGGATGGTAATTTGTTAACATAGTTAACTACGTTACTTAGCAATACTTCTACAGCATTCTCTGAACTGCTTGATTCTGATTGGTCAGTCGTAACATTCCAAGGTCAGTTATTTCCCAATAATGACCGTCGTCAATAGCAATATTGACCAATATTGACCACAATAATGACCAATATTGACCGCTTATCCGGTTATTTGAGGTCGGCACTTCTTCCATGTCTCTGGTTTCACACCACAGACACGCTGTCTGTCTCATTTCATTCAAACATTCAATAAAAACTGGAGACTTCAGTATTAATAGCAGGCCTACAAAAATATTGTTAAAGTGGTTGTCTTGCTGCTAGAACAATTGTTTTATACACAGTAATAGATTATAAGATAATAAACAGGTATGATTTTAAACCAGTTAATTCTCAAATCAATATTTAATGTCCCCTTCATTATTTATAAGTTGGAAATCTGTGTAATAAGTCATCCTTGCTGAATAAAAGTACTTTCAAAATGTACTTGAGCACATTTTACACTCATGTAACTTGTATGATATTTGATGCACTCAAATTCTAAAATAGGAAGCAAGCGTATTATTTATTTGAAAGCAGTCAGTATCCATATACTGCCAGCGTATTAGCCAAGACTGAAACAAACCTTGTGACTATGACTAGAGTGTGGGTTGACAGATTTTATTCTGCGAGTCTGAGTGTATCTGCTGGGGTTTGGCAGGTTCAAAAGGGCATAATAGGGGATTTATGGTGGTACAATCTGAAGGGACAGCTTTCAGCTTTTTTATATCAAACAATATTAAAGAAGATATGACAGGAGGGGAAAGAGCTCAAAGTGGGACAGCACTGCACATTCACTTACATAATATTGCAGAAAATACCGCAGCAGATATTTACTAATATGTGACACGAGCACGCACAGAACACATTCAAACACGCACGCCACCAGAATCACCAGCAGCTTGTGCTTAACTGGCAGCTCTGAAATCAAACACCACATGTAAGCATTTACGTCTGACGCTCACATACCGACTTACCAAAGTGACTTACAACAAAGTGATTGTATAACTGTAAGCAATCTTCAGTTAAAGGTGCAGAGGGGTAAAAGGAAACCTTAAGCTCTCGATGGGGGGGGGGGGGGGGTTTGGGGTCATGCTTGAATAATGGTGATAAAAAATTCTTCTTTTGCGGTTTGAAGAAACCTTTCTGGTGGTATATATGCTATAAAGTGCATTCAGATATGAAGGATGGAAAGGCTATTTGTGTAGTATTAGTGTTTGAGCTCGTGTAACTGGTGTAACGGACCCCCCACACAGTGTCTGCGTATTTGCGTCTGAAACTGACCGTGGAGCAACACATGAAGACGATGACGAAGGTTCCCAGGACCCCTCCAACGCCCACCAGCCAGGTCATCCTGAGGAAAAGAATCACCCCCAGGATGTTCTGCATACATGGCAGGTAAACGCCCATTATCGTCCCCATACGTGGAGCCTGTCAATCAAACGATAAAGCAATCAATATTCAGGACACAATGTAAATCTATTAACTGGTACACGATGCTCAATATACTTCACAGACGGCATACTTAAAAGGCCATTTTATCTGCTTGTCAATCAACATCCACTCAATCATTGATTAAGTACCGTCCATAAAAAATACACATGAAGACTGACCATGGTCATTTGCCAGCACTGACTTGTAATTGATGTTTGCAACACAATGTTTGACCTGAAGGGTAAAAATTATTGTTATTTTCGTCAGTTATGGCTTGTTAGATCTAGCATTCTGCTGGCTTTAAAGGAGTAGTTCACTTAAAAAAAAAAAAAAAAAACTTTTGCTGATAATTTACTCACCCCCATGTCATCCAAGATGTCCATGTCATTCTTTCTTCAGTCGAAAAGAAATGAAGGTTTTTGATGAAAACATTCCAGGATTTTCTCCATATAATGGACTTCAATGGGAACCAAACGGTTCAAGTTCCAAATGAGAGTTTCAGTACAGCTTCAAAGGGCTTTAAACGACACCAGACGATGAATAAGGGTCTTATCTAGCTAAACCATCGGTCATTTCAAAAATAAATAAAAATGTTTAAGTTTTATAAGCACAAATGGTCGCCTTGCTCTGTTCTGTGATGAGCGTACGTGACTCTCCTGTTCAAACCCGTACATCAAACTGAACAAATCTTTTTTCGAGTCATGACTCGAAGGGTCCTAGATAAGATCCTTACTCATCGTCAAAGCTGCACTGAATCTCTCATTTGGACCTTGAACCGTTTGGTTCCCATTGAAGTCCATTATATGGAGAAAATCCTGGAATGTTTTCATCAAAAACCTTATTTACCTAATTTATTTTCAACTGATGAAAGAAAGACATGGACATCTTGGATGACATGGGGGTGAGTAAATTATCAGCAAAAGTTTTTTTTAAAAAGTGAGCTACTCCTTTAAGAGAGACACAGAGATAAAGTGTGGTAAGATTACATTTTAATGGATAAATTATAGCATTTATTTGATAATTATTGAGAGAGTGAGAGATATTTCTTGTTGCTGAGAAACATAATATACAGATACTGTAGGGAAGCTATTTTACTGTAATAATAAAAGACTCAGTGTTGAACTTGTGCGCTCCTGGATGTTTCTATGTGTGCATAGAGTGATCTCAAATCTCTGTGTGCGAGTGATGTGTATGTGTGTGTGTGTGTGCGTGTATGCGTGTATGTGAAAAAAAGCACCACATTCATATTGATCAGTGATTAAACTTACTGGAACTACCTGTGCGTTCAACTGTTTTATATCTGTTTAAATCCTTCCAGCCAATCAGAAACAAGTATTCAGGCAGACCATGTAATGAAGGGCTTTATACAAATACAGATTGTCTCAAAGCAGCTTTAATGCATTAAACAGAAAAATAACACAATTATTGACGCAACTTTCTTCAAATATTCACAAATTCTGCCGCAAAGCAGCTCTAAGACGACAATGTTGTCATTATTCAGCTCAAGTCTGTTCAATGTTGATTCAGTTCAGTTCAATAACAGTGTTGATGTCGCAAAATCTGTCAATTATTAAACAAATTTGATTTAGTGATAAAGCAGCTTTACAGAAGACAATAGTGATCATCCAGCTCAGTTCAGGTTTTTATTCATCCAAAAAAGGTTCGGTATAGTGAATTGGCAGTGTGTAGAGATAATGGAAGTGTTTTTGTCACCTGCACAGTTTTCTTGCGCGGCTCCTCATTGTTTTCAGCCTCCTCATGCTCTTTACTGCCCTGCGTCAGGTTGGAGTAGTTGGCAAGGCTACTCAGCACAGAAGACACTATAGGACTAGTGTCCATCTCCTCCTACAAAACACACACATACAAACAAGTGTAAGCCTACATTCATACTGTATGTAACCCATTTAAACACTCATTAGCAGTGCGGCACTACCTCAAACAGAGCCATGTTTTTCCCATCATACTGCTGGCTTTTCTCTACGTCACTGGTGCTGCTGTTGATAAAGGGGCTGCTCTCCTTGGATGTTGCATCTCCTGTGAACATACATGAATTAAACATTGCTGTTAATCTGAGATAGAGTAAGAGGGCCTAAAATGTATTTGGACACTCAAAATATAAAACATAAAGTTGTTGTACACAACCATTCAACGTTTTGGAAATAGAAAGATTATTATTATCAGCAAGGATGCATTAATTTGGTCAAAAGTGACATTAAAGATATTTAAAATGTTACAAAAGATTAATATTTCCAATAAATGCTTTTGAACTTTCTATCCATCAAAGAATCCTGAAAAAACTACTGGAACTACAAAACGTATGGTTTCCACAAAAACTATTAGGCAATGCACACCAAATTAGCATATTATAATGATTTCTGAGGATTAATGATTTGCCATGACAGGAATAAGATACATGTTAAAATATATCTTACAATAAAAAAAGATTTGTATAACATTTCACAATATTATCATAAGGCTTTTACTGTATTTTAATCAAATGAATGCAGCCTTAGTGAGCATTTATGAACAGTAGTTTACATAATTTATGAATAGTAGTTTACATAAAAAAAAACACTAAACAAATGGCATTTATTTATTTTTTTGAAAATATTTTTTTTAAGCAAAAAAAAAAAAAAAAGTTTGTTAGGTTTCAAATAAATACAAAACTATTATTTATATTTATAAAATTACAGTATGCCATCCCATTGTATTCATCAAAATCAACATCAAGTAAAAACATTTGCAATTTGTCAGCATTGCTCCCACTGGATCTGCTTACATATAAGATCAACGTCATCGCATTAGCAAACAATACTAAAGAACGATGTTGTACTGGTATTATCAGATTTAAAACATAAGCATATTCAGTTTAAAATTTTTCATTTCTCTGTAAGAGTGCTTTGTCTCTCAGAATTTACAGAATGCTTTTTCACATCTCACACAAACGAAGTGCGGTGTACAGTACAATTACTCCAGTCGTTACAACTTGTCCATCTGAGAGAAAAGAACAGGAAGAGGGTGGATAGATACAACTGTAAAGAAAAAACAGCAGCGTATCAACATGCAGCACTCCTTGAGTATCAGTGTGTGTGTGTGTGTGTGTGGGGGGGGTGAGGAATTCCAGGACTTCTACATACTCTTCCATAGCAACAACCCGGTTCTGAGCCTATTTTTACACTGCCGCTTTCAGCCGCACATCCTTTATCACAGGAACCCTTGATCGGTTTATTCTGAAGTAGCGCAACATACACCCTCACAGGTTCTGAACGATGCTCTTGTGTCCTATAAATACGTCACTGTTTTTAATTGCGTGAATTTCTAAATTGTAGTGCGGATTGTAATGTCACCTTCCCTGCCTTCTTTAATATAATTATATGTGGGAGAATGTTCATTAAATGGCCAAGGGAAATCCTGCCTCTTAGCTTGCCCGGTTTAATCTGATGTATTAGTTTAATTAATCATGCTTCCTGCTTCGTACATTTTCATTTTCACAGCATTTTCCTGCTTATTGACCTGCGACCCTATGACCTTTAAACACACAATTCATCACCTTGTAATTTCGTTTGTCACCGCTCAATCAATACGTCACCAATGTTTTCACCAGAAACTAAAAATGCCATCAGGTTTATATAGTATAGATATATTGTGAAGCCTAAATAAAAGTCAATTATTTCATTTAAGGATCCTTGGTCTCACAATGCTTTAATCGTCGTACTTTTAGGTTTATCTCGTGCATTTGTTCCTATATGACTGTAGAGTGTTTTCTCTCTAATCTTGGCTGAAACTCCTACTTCTGGCTCTCTTGACACACACCATCCCACAACCCCAGCAGACTCACACTGTAATAAGGAATAATGAGAAAAAGATTGGTTTACAGATTAAGATAGAGTCTAATCTTTGACATCTAGTGTGCTGTGTGGTAAAATTTATAACAGAAGCATTTGGTTCATTGTTACAATCCCCAGAATAGACCCTGAGCATCTATGTGCCTATTACAGATATCAAAGAGGGGATTGCATACTGAGGGGGTCTGCTGATTCTGCCCTGCTGTCTATTTGAATGGCTCCGGTTTTGCACAGTTGCAGAGGCAAGAGTAGGACAAAAGACAGTAGCCGATGCTTGTATTTTTCATATAGCTATTCTTTCCACTGCCTTTTTACACTAAGGGCAGAAAGGGCAGAACCCCATCCACGCACAAAGTTTATGTGGCGGCCATAGCGGCGTTTACAAAACCCACAACTGGCCAGTCACTTGGGAAGAACGATCTGGTCATCCTTAATGGAGGGCTCAGGTACTGCTCAGGGCTCAGGTTATTTCCATGTCTGCCCTGCTGGTTTACAACAAAGAAAAGCTTCCTATGCCCAGTCAGGGCATTAAGAGCTTATGTGTTGTGCTTGTCTGTTTTCAGACAGACTGAGCAGCTCTTCGTTTCGGTCAGCGGACGTGCTAAGGGACTAGCCGCATCGAAACAGAGCCTATCCAGATGTATAGTTGATGCCATAGCGCCAGAGGTGGGGACAAGTCACACATGGTCAAGTCCAAGCAAGTCTCAAGTCTTAACCATCAAGTCTCGAGTCAAGTCTCAAGTCGCAGTTCAGATAAATCAAGCAAGTCAAGTCAAGTCAAGGGTTCACCCTAAGCAAGTCAAGTCAAGTCCTGATAAGTTTCAAGTAAAGTCAAGTCACACTACTAAAATAAATAGAGGTAAATTTTTTCGATACATATTTATTTTTGCACAGAAAAGATGAACTTTTATACATATATTATGTATCTTACATTTGCTATATTAATCATATGCATATCTGTGCTACATTAATATCTGAAAATAAAATAAAATTGTGTTGTTTACACAAAACGTTCAGAGTCTAAGATGTATCGATTCTAAGATGTATAATCCAATCTGTCTAATTCAATTTAATTGAAACGGTCTAAAATGTATGAAATCTAAAATGTAATATCTTATATCTTATATAAATGTAAAATATAAAATGTATGAAATGTATGAGAATATAAAATGCAATTTTTTTTTTAATTCAGTAGTTTTTCTTATCATAGCCAACAAATGTCTTCGGAAACTCCTTTTCCTCGATTTACTGAAACCTATATGTAAAACGCATTTGCAGCTGCACAGCCGTGTATCTATGCTGCATATACAGACATCCCAACCTACAAGAATTCATTTCAGGGAGGTATATCTCAATGAATGTAATGTTAGGGGGGGGGTTAATATATGTTATATTAACATATTTAAAATATGTTTAAAATAAATATAAAATAAAAATGGTAATATGTTATATTAACATATTTTATATTTAATAAATATTACATATTAAATAATATTATGTATATTATATATTAAATTTACATAAATATTAACAAATGATTGTTTTAATTATGGAATTCTCCATAATTAACTCCTAAACTTCAGTAGAGAACAATTCTTTGTAAGGAAGGAGGGGTTTCTTTATTGTACATTTATTTGCATGTAGTATGTAGCATATGGTTTGCGTTGCTTTAAATTGGTCAGTACAGCGCTGACTATTGAGTGTCGCTAGGAAACACGTCCGCGCTGCGCTGACGAATCGGCTGCGCGGCTCGGATCATTGAACCGCGCAGATGACATGTCTGCGCGGCACGAGCTCTGTAAAGCCCCGCTGTCTCGTCCCACTTTTGGTTTGTTTGGCTTCCCATATCTCTGCCGTGCACACGCCGCACGCTATGTATGTTATACGCGCAGTATCTCGCTCTAGATTCCGGGAGATTTTAACTCATTTGCGGGCATCAGGGAGACGCTATCAATATGCGTGAGACTCCCGGAACTTCCGTTTGGCGCGGTTTGAATTGAGCAGCGTAAAGGCACAGATGCCGATATATTGATGCTGACGTCATAATATATATTTTAATTAACTGTATTGCTGTTTGTTTATTATATGTTCAAGTCATTGTCGAGTCTTCCACTTCAAGTCAAGTCAAGTCTCAAGTAACTTGTTCTCAAGTCAAAGTCAAGTCAAGTCATTTTTGTACTTTAATCAAGCAAGTCACAAGTCCTGAAAATTGTGACTCGAGTCAGACTCGAGTCAAGTCATGTGACTCGAGTCCCCCACCTCTGCATAGCGCTGACATACATGTCTAAAGGCTTGAAGTGTCCTTTAGGTGTTAGAGCGCACTCCACAAGAGGCATTGCCTCGTCGTGGGCTTGGTCTAGCGGGATTACATTGCAGTATGGCGGCAGGCTGGGCCTCCCCATCTACATTTATAAGGTTTTATAACCTAGAGGTTCCAGCCTCATAAACTACTTTCGGTCTAAAAATCAGTATTAGTATTGTCTGCCCCGTTTCTTCAGCTCAGAATACTACCGTTTGAGCACCGCTCGCTGATTGATAAAATTACACCATGGGCAAAAGTAAGACCCATACCGTTAAGGCCCGTACACACCGGGACGAATATCAGCGCGCGTTATTCGTCAGCGTTTTTCAACGCGTTTTTTGTGTTCACACCCAAGCGTTTTTCGCTGACGATGAGCTGAGTGAACATGCAAATTCATTCCCTGACATTAGATGGGGCTTAATGTAAAACAGAAATAATAATAGAATACTATACTAGGGTCATATTCATGTCTCAATGTAATGTTTTATTATGACAGATAGAAAAAAACGAATGAAATAATGATAGAAATAATGTCTTCTGTATTAGAAAAATAAATATATAAATAATAAATAACTAAAAGAAATGCCTCCAAATGTAACAAAAAATAGCTCTCACAAACTTACAAAAACGAACGAACAAAATCTATTTATATCTTAGTTTTCATCCTCTTTATCTTGTTTTTCTTCCTCGTCCACCTTTTTTGCCCATCTATATTTTGCTGTAGAACTGATCTTTCCCAGCAGTTTTTTTTTTTAAACCAGGACATTTTCATCACTTAAAAACAGTCAGGACAGGACGTGGGAACAGGACATGTGTAACGCAAAGTGGAGATGTTGCCCAGAGATAAAAACATACCAGTTGTCGGATGAACAGATGCACGAG